AAGCCGATCGATACAGTAGCTGCTGTATACTTCTTGCAATTATCAATAGCTGATTTCGCCTTTTGAGGCCTGCATCTGTTAATGCAAGCTAATAATAATCGTTTGAGCAGCCCCAGAGGCAAGAGTCAAAGTTTTAGCTCCCCAGCATTATTTATATAATCATACATGCCGAAGTGCCCCTCCTGTGCCACATGCAGCCCACATGCAAAGTTCAGTGGTCAGGAGAGAAGTACTTCAAGACAATTTGCATCCCTAAGTGTGAAGACCCTGGATATGTGCTGATGTTTCTCTGTGTATGCCATTTAAAAAGCCATGGAATGCTTGACTGTGGTACCTACAGTGAAATTGCAGTGTCCTGTACTCCAAATACAGGCAGGCTTCAGAGCACGCAGACCACAATGGATTTATACACCATGCACATGGTTCCCACCTATTAAAGATATTGGGGCATATTTATATCAATGGCCTTAAATGCAAGGAGACCAGCAGTTGTAGCCAGGATAGGCAGGGCAGTTAGCCATCCACCAGTTTATTTAAACAGAGCTTTTTATCTTTCTGGAGAAAGTTAACTTCAACTAGATAAATAGAAGCTTGGATAAAACATTTAAAAATAACACAATTAAAAAATTTACCTACATGTTTTGTAGCACCTCCCCCCAACATAATAGAAAAGCAACATCTTTATAATTGGCACTTGACATGCTGTTTGCGTGGGGCTGTGGTACACCAAGCACAGATTTCCTGTTGATGGAAACATTTATCATCGTGATTGCCCCAGAGTGGCAGGTGGTGTTATCAATTACCTCTTCTTACCAATAATAATATTAGTATGGTAATATCTTTGCTCAAGTGAGAACCAATTAGTGGTCACTTGTCACAGCATTAAAGACACAACATCATGCTGAATTTAAACCTAAGGACCTAAAACAAAAGTTGTGGGGTGGGGAAAGAACTAGAGGGAGGGAGAGAGATACCAAATATGTTAAAGGGAACTTGGGGAAGAAAAAAGAATGAAAGGAGTCTGAAAATGAAAGCCTTAATATTTGAACTCCTGTTTTGTATTAAGTGGCTGGAGATATGAACACTTTGTAAACAAAATGTCAAATGCACCTTATGTAAAACCATCTTTTGTGTATCTAGAGGCAGGTAGTTTCAACAACCTGACTGTGATGTTAAATTAGAACCAACTATTCAACCTTCCCTTGTCAAATCAATCTTGCATAGGCTTTCTGTTTTATCTGAATAAATGATACAAATTAAATCAAACACCTAATTATATGTTCCACTAATGTAAAATATACAGTATTAATTTGTAAATAATATTATTAAGCAGACAAAATAATAACGTGTCTCCTCTTAAGATGAAAACAACATTGTAAGAGAAAAGACGATTAACAAATTAGATTTAATTACAGAGAAGAAAACTCAACTTTTGTTTTTGCAAGTGTTTAGGTATTACAATAATTTAATAGACAGTGGTCATGTGATAATAAGTATGTGTGTGCCTCGTGCCTGAGTCAGAGTCCACACCTCTGTTGCATACATCTGTGCATTAACCTGGGCACAACCAGAGCCTACATCCTGCCTCTCATCTGTGAAAATATCCCATTGACCCACTGTCACTTTGAAATAAATATATTGTTGCCAGTAGGGCATAAAATGTAAATGCTTTCATTAAAACTTGCCACAGTGAGTAAGAACAATCAGAGGTTTCTGATCTGAGTGTAAGGAGGCAAAAAGGGGAAGGGAGCAGGTAAGTCGGGAAGAAACCCGCCTTTTGTTTTCCACCATTACTTAAAAAATTTTTATCTTGTCCTGCCCAAGCAGTTCCTAAAAGGGTGCACCTCAGGGCTTGCTCAAGGGCACCATTTCAGCAGTGGAGAGAATTAGTGCAGGCTTCCGCAGCCTCTTGGCCCTTCCGTCCAAATCTTTGCTTCACCTTTTCAACGAAATTCGAGCGCAGCCTGCACCAACGGAGTCACGGAGCCTGGACCTTTCCCGGACAGCTCAGCCCTGAACTGCCCTAACCCTGGGACAGCAGCCCACCCGGGGCTGGACCAACGCATCCAGATCGCTGGCTTGTTCCCGTGAGATCCACGACGTCCATCCAAGCCCCAAGTCCTGCCTGCTTTACCTTCCCACTTAGCATTCGCTGAACTCTTCTGCAATCTGAAGGCATGTTTCGTGCACACGGAGGGCCCGGGCTCAGATGTGCCTTCATTGGAGGGACTCGAAAGATCCTCCCCACGACCACACCTCATAGAAAATGCAAAGGAAGTGCACAAAATTAAACAGTTGCATAGGGAAGCCCCGGAAAGACCAAGGGAAATCGTGACCGTTTGTTGGAGAGAGGGATTGGGGGGCGGGGTGCAGAGGTGGGAGTATGAGAGGGCCGCCAGCCACAAAAAGGTGGGCAGCAGCAAGCAGAGGCGACCCAATGAGGAGTCGTTCGGGCTGTGGGGCCCGGGAGGCTTTGCAGTCTAGCGGGATCCGGGTCTTCCCTGAAAGGCTTCAAATGCCGCCTGCTATGAGAACCTGCGTTTCCTTCTTCCCGAAGTGGGCAGATAACAAACAGAAAGGGGGAGGGGACTGCCCAGGTCAAAAAAGCCAACACACCTTTAGCCTGGGGTAGCACTGGGGGATGGTCCTCCTGCGTTCTAGAAAGTAATGCAGACGTCTGCCTTCCCGCCGAGGCGCAGCGCCTTCCCCTAACTCTGGACGGTCCGCGAAATTCTGCAAAAACTTCCATTTTCCACTGCCCCTCCACTTTTTTTTTTCTTTCCCCACCTCTGCCGCTATCTCCTCTTTTCCCAGGAAAATATCTGTCCCTCCTGGCTCTAAAGCCCTAGCTGCAAACTTCTCACTGCAGAGCGCCTTTGTGCCAGACCAAGGAGCGTCCTCAAAACGCTCACAGCCTTCACAAACCTTCACCGCAATTTCGATAACATTTTGTCCCAAGGTTTAACTATGAAAGCGCAATCGACGTGTGTGTGAGTCAAACGGGAGAACTCTAGATTTTGAGCATCTTTTATTTGCTTTTCTTTAAACAGAAATCACCTAAGTGAATACGCTTTCCAAAAGCCAAAAACAAAACCAACCTTAAAGAATTTTTTTAAGTGGCTCTTGGGGCTGTTTGGAGGCGACTCCAACCTGTGTGCTTCCTTCCTCTGCATGATTCTCCTGCGCTCTGCCTGGAGCCCAAAGCTGTTGCTTCGTGGAATTCACACAACTAGAGGAGGGCAGCAAAACTCGGGCTGAGAACCAGAGCCTAGAACCGAAAAGCAGCCGGCGGAGAGCAGGGGAGCGGTGCCAGGCTTGAGTCTTTGGAAGAGAAGGGGATCCCACCAGCCAGGGAGCAGCTTCTAACCCTGCGGGGAGCGTGCGGCAGCCTGGCGTGGGGGACTAGCTGGTCATCACCTGCCCTCCACCTCCGGCCGCAGCCGCCACAAGCGACGACCAGGGGAAGTGTGGGGAGACTATCGTGTCCAAGCTTCGCACCACACAGGGCCACTTGCGAGGACAAAAATATTAAAATTAGGAGATGAAAAGAGACATACTGGGGCTAGGGGCACTGTCGCGGGCACAGCGGCAGCGGCGGCGGCGGCGAGGCCCGAGGCACATCCTGGTGGTCGCTCGAGGATGGAGGACACGAGCGGCCGTGCACGCGGACGCGTGTGCTCGGCTGCGGGTGTGCGCGCGGGTGAGAAGGCGCGTTCGTGTGACCGAGGGCGGGGCAGCGCGCCGCGCAGGCTGCCAGAGGGTGCGGGGCTGGTCCTGACGTGCGCGAACCGCTTACCTGGCCCCCCACACCCCCCCCCCGAAATCCCGAGACGCGGTGGGCCGCGCGCGGGACTTCTGTGAACTTGGAACTTTCAGTCGCGCTCCCCGCCCACTCCGCAGGTTCCCCAGCAGTGGGTGCCGGAGCCACGGCGCCCGTCCAGAAGGGGAACGGGGTGGGGGGAGGCAGCGGGGAGGGACACTGGGGCCCCGCCGTCCCCTCCCTTCCCTGGACTTAAGAAGCCTCCCGCGGCGGAGAGGCCCCGGCGGGCGGACGCGGGGGCCGAGGCGGCCCAGGTGGCAGCGGCGGGCGGGGCGGACGCTCCCGAGTTGGTGGGACCTGGGGTGGGGGGGCGGGGAGACGGGGGTGGGGGCGAAGGGAAAGGCAGGGGAGGGGAGGAGCCGCGCGGCCCTCGCCGCTTCCGAACCGGAAAGTTGGTCTTGCCGAAGTCCCGCCACCCCGGCGTGCGCACTCCGCTCCGGCTGCAAGTCTGCGAGCCCCGCTGGCGCGGGGAGCCTTCGGAGGGGACTCGAACCGGGAGAGAAGGTCCGGAGTCGGGGCACCTGAGCCAGAGTAGGCCGCGTGCTGAGCGGTGCCGCGACCTGCGCCGAAGAGGAAGGAGGCGCCCGGCCCTGCGCGCCCAGAGCGCAGGCGGCGCGGCGCCCAGCGGCCCGGGCGAGACAAAGGCTCCCGGCCGGAGCCCTGCCCGCGGCCGCTCGCTCCGGGAGGGGCGGCCCAGCGGCGGGGCGGGGGGGCGCGGCGCGGGGCGCGGGCGACGGCGCAGACACTCTATAAAGGGGCGAGCTCGGCGCGCCGGCGGAGACGGCGCCGCGCGGACGCCGCCAAAGTTTGCTGCTGCGCTTGGCGGAGGGGAGGCCGGCGAGTCCCGCTCCGCGCCGGGGCCCGCCGCAGCCGCAGCAGGGCCGCCAAAGAGCGCGAGCGGCGGAGCCCGCGATGTGAGAGGCGCCCGGCAGCGCGCACCCGGTTCCGCAGGCCACCGGCCCCTCCTGGCCGGCGCGGCCGCTAATTGCGAGCGCGGCCTCATTTGCATAGGCCGCCCGAGTCCGCTGGAGGCCGGCCAATCGGCGCGGCCCTCCGCTAATGGCCGTGCATTATTCACCAGCCTAATTGCTCAGCCCCATGCGCGGCCCGCGCAGCCGCCGCCGCCCCGCGCCCGCCCGGCCGCCCCGCGCCCGCCCCGCGCCGTCCCCGCCGGCCTCCCAGCTGATGCCGCTGCCCCGCGCGGGGCCGGAGCGCCGCTAGCAGCATGTCTCGGCGCAAACAGGCCAAGCCTCAGCACCTCAAGTCGGACGAGGAGCTGCCGCCGCCGGACGGGGCTCCCGAGCACGGTGAGGGCCAGGGACCGCAGGGTGGCCGGGGCTGCTGGGCTCCCACGCGAGGTGGGAGCGCAGGCGACCGGAGCGGCCGAGTGCGTCGCGGAGTGGGAGAAAGTTCCTTGGCTCCCTAGAGCAAGTGTCCGAGTCGCGTCCGGTTCCCGGGCCGGGGCGGCCTCGGGGACTTGGGTCCTCCGCCGGAGCGCGCGCGGCCGCGGAGAGTTGCGAGCCAAAGAAACTTGGCTTCGCTCCTCGGAGTTGGGGTGCTGCGCGTGGAGGGCGCTACGGCCGGGCCGACTGGGGGGCGGCTGGGAGCCGGCGCTGCCGGGCGTGGAGGCCTGCGCGCCGAGCCGGAGCGGGCGGGGGTCCCGGCTGCTGCCTCATCGCTGCCCCCCGGCCTCGCTGCGCCCAGAAGCGTCGCGGCCTTGTGGCGGCGGAGACTTCGAACGAACGAGCCCCGGGCTGGAGCAGCAGCTGGATACGCGTCCAAGGCTCACCCCCCGCGGGTCCCAGAGGCCGCCGCCTGGCCAGCTTTGTTCGGCTTTGCGCGCCCGGGTGCCCGGGTGGTGCGTGCCCCGAGCCAGCCCAGAATGCAACGCCACCTCCCTGATCCCCGCCTGTGCCCTCTGCCCTCCGTACCGCCTGTGTGCCGCCTCGAGTGACCCTTGGCCGCGAACCCCGCGATGTCCCAGTGCGTTGACAAATGCGATGATGCCGTTCGGAAACGAGTAGAAAGTAAACGTCCCTTGGCCTTTCCTTAATGGCCGACTTGGGAATTAAGCTGGGGTGAGCACAGCTGCAGCGTTCAGGGGCTGCCTGGGCCCTTGCACACGGTGGGACTCCCAACACGTTTCTGGAGGGTTTCAGGGTTTTCTCAGGCGTTTTCTTATTCTTTTGGAGGCATCGAAATCGGGCGCCGGAGGCTCTTTGCAGTTAATTCGCTGGTAGGAACTTCCTCCTGGAAACACCCTGAAGTGAAGGGCAGGCGCCGCGAAAGTTAGAGACTGGCAACGATTCGGATTAACTGTAGCTGAATTTTGGCACTGTAAAGTTTAGGAAATCCCGAATCCGTTTTCTCAAGTTAAAAGCCTCGGCCTTGAATAGCAGGCTTCGGCGCATCCCGCAGGGGTCCCCAGGGCGCCCGCGCGGAGGACCGAGGAGGGACGGCCGCGGGCACCCCTGAGCCCGCAGTCAGCACGGGCGTGGGACAGTTTGTTACTTTAAAAAACAGGCTAGCCAACTGCTGTGATTAACCTATTATAAGCTGTTCGGAGGCAAATACTAATCTTTTTACTTTGAGAATTAGACTGAATTAGACTGAAAAAAGGGGGGGGAGAGTTTTAAGAGTTTGTCACAGGGTGGTGTAAAGTTTGACAAAGCAGGTATACATCTTCGTCGGAATGGAGAAAGTGAGAAACTAGGTAAAACGGACTGGGTAAAAAGTGCATGAAATAAAACTGAGGACTCCTTGGGTCTTTTTGTTGTTGTGGAGGTGAGGGAGCGGTCTCTGCGAAGCAAGTCAGCCAAGATTAGAACAGGCGATATGCTAAAAAGAAACGCTTGCATATGTTGGGTAGATTAAGGACAAAGAATCTTTTTGTCATGGAAATGGATTTTTTTGTTTTGTTTACTTCTTCACATAGAATTTCTCACACTTGGTTTGTTTTGTATTGCCCTCAATGACTACATGATCAAATGAATGGATTTATTTCTACCGAATGAGAAAGACAGTCTTTCCTTCAAAAGAACTACATTGCATCCCAGTGAGGAATTTTAAAGCTTTATTATTGTGGCTCCTGAATAGCTTAAAATCGGCTTTCACAGCCGCCCCAAAATGCAACAATGTAAATACTTCTCAGCTTTGTAGGGTCGTTATCAAAATGTGCAATGTCTCCTTTTATTAAAGCATATTTTAATTAATAGAGTAAAACCTCTTGTATTTAACAATTAACAAGCTGAGGCATTGCTGTTCATTTTTAATTTCACTTCAGAAATGTGAGCGTGATGCACTTAATAGTGTAAACATGTTGGAGGACATATAGTGCTGAAACCCACAAATGGAGTAATTATTTAGGAGTTCTATTTTGAATTCGCCTTGCTGCTCGAATTTGTTTAGAGATTTACCACACCCAGGCTTTCTACCGTCATAGGAGTGGAGTTTTTGTCGAGCCTGTGTTTTCCACAGCCATTCTGAGTTCTAATCACGATGTTGATCATATTTTGCAACAGGCCAGAAATAGCCTGTCTGGGGCTAGCCCTAGGAAAGCAGTGTATTTCCATGCCTGTTTAAAGGGTAGTTCAGGCAAACTATTAAAACAAGTTCTTTCTGCTTTAATTGTTCTGAAGCAGATTGTTCATGGAGCATAAAAGATACTCTGCTCCCTGTGAAGTCAAGGAGTGATTCTGTGTGTATCACTCTAAGATAACCAACTAAAGTTTTTTTTAAGACAAATGGCTGTACAAACTAAATTACTCCAACATGAACCAGATCTCTTCAAAATTTTAATTTTGTTAAATGCTGTGGGAATAAACATGTCATGTGTGGAGTTATAATTGAGCTAAGTTAGTTTACAGTGTTTTAGAAATGAAGTAAATAATTCCTTTGTATCACTTTGGGCATAACATATTAATTAAAGCAATGGGTCCATCTACGTGCAGTAAATTGATGTCATGAAAAACAAATACAGTATGCAAAAAATTTACTATAATAGAGGGCAAAGATGCAGAGGCACATTACTTTATAGTTACAAGCCCATATTTCTATAACTTCTTTTTCAGGCTTCAGTTTTTAGGCAAGCAATGAAAAAAATACTATAAAAAATTGATTTGGAGCTATCCCAGCCTTATCACTGAAGGAATGAAATGATAATGTATTTAGAATGAGAAAACATAAGGATGATTTATGTAAAGTTCTAAAGTTACCCTTTTGTAAAAATTTATTTTAAGGTCATTCAGATTTACATTCCCAATAGAAACTGTCTTGTAAAATTACTTATTTGCTAATTATTTCATTCCCATTATAGAAGTAAATGCTCTGGAGTTAAATCTATGCCACCAATAATGATATCCTTTGAACCAGCTGAAGATTTTTGTTCTAAGAAAAACTAATTAAAACTTCCAATGACAGTGCAGCACTTAACTCCCACTAAGAACTTCAAAAGGTGTAATATTGCTGTCCTGTGTTGCATAAATGAAATTTAATAAACATTTTACTGTCTTTAGAAAGTATGTATTTAAAGAGGAACAAAAGGATATTGCAATTTAAAACAGTTTGCCATCTTGCATTTTGTTGGTACTAATTGCTTCAAAGTGTTTTTATTTTCTGCCAACTTATAGTATATGGCTATCTTAAGAATCCTTTCAAATATGGTGAGCCTGTGACCTAAGGATTTACCCGAGGAATTCACAGGCTGTGTTTAAATTCAGGGAAAGAAGGCCATCGGCACTCGGTGAAGAGGTCTTTTTTCTTTTATCTGTAGATCCAGGGTTTGCCTTCAGCTCCCCCAGCACACTACCCACATTTACAATTCAGCATACCAAAAGGGACAATGCAGAAGCCACTTTCCAACATCCACAGGCAGATTGTTTTCTCTGAAACATGAAAGGTAAAAAGTAACCAGGGAAGAGAAGGAAAAGAACCTGCAAACATTTCTTTTAAAAATAACACTTAGAAATTTAACCCATTTTAAAATGCATATTGCCGTGATCAACAAAAAAGGGGGCCCATTAATTCTACCTTTCAGAGAACTGATTATGTGACAAAGAGGGAATTTTTGTGTACAATGCATTTCAAACTTTCACAGCATATGCATAATCCAGAATTTTTCAATGTGTTCATTGCCAGAGAAAGGAAAAGGTATGGAGTAACAGCAGGAATTACTTAGCAAGCTGATTATTTTTTGTATCCACGATGATGGTGAAAGCAGGCAAAAGTGGGTCAGATTTCATTTTCAGCTTCAATCTCTAAGAAGCTCTACCATCATCTCCAGGTAGTCTTAAGAACATTTTTTTTCAGGGGGAAATGCAGCAAAGATACAGCCAAAGTTTCTATTCTGCAGCCTGACCATCAGTTGCAATTTAACGTTCTTAAATGTAAGTATTGGCACAGGCTTTGATTTAAGTAAATTTAAAATCTTTTTAACTGCTAATAATGTGATTCCTGATCTTACAAAGCTGCAAGATAGTTTCAAGAAGCATAATTTTTTAATAATATAACAGGAAGGGTGTTTTTTGTGTTTTGGATTTTTTTGTTTTGTTTTATTGGCTTTGCTTTTCCTACATGATTTCTTGACTCATTCCCAGAATGAGATCAACATATCTTAGTCTCATGAAGATGTGAACTAATTCTACTACAGTTAGTGTAGCTTTGGTGTAGCTTTGTTATTATAGCATATGTTAAGTTGCTACATATTTCATATAAAATCAGATATAAATAAAACCTATGTAAAAATTAAATATTTTACTATTACTTTAAGTAAACGCTGATTTTTTAAAAACAGCTTGAATTTTTTTCTCTTGTAATTTCAACATGTGTTTGATTTAAAATACAGTTAAGCGCGTGATTTCTAAGCAAACAAATAGGAGAAATCTTGTTACAAAAAGTATAAAATATTAACAAAGTAATGGAATGGCCTCTATGTTACAGATTAAGATTGATTTGTTTCTTAATTAAAGAGAAGAATTTTCAAGTGTCCACCAAAGAGACCGGATGAGGCCAGTTGGTGTCTAAATATTTTCCTCTGTGGGCCTTTTTAAATCACCCCTAGATTAGTTCTGCGTGCTATCAAGAGAGCCTACCCCCTTTGCATTCTGCAAACAGTGGCCACAAGGCATGGCATATAAAGCCTTTTTTGTCTTCTGACTGTGGAAGGTGGATTGCAGAGTGCTGGCCAGCTTCTGACTCTCCCTGAAGGTGGGTAGTTAGAAGTGCTTTGACAAACCTTGCTGATTTAACCTTTGCCTGCTTTGCCCTGCCAGGGGTGACCACTAGATGTCAAGCTCATAATACAATTAGT